GAGGCTCAGTTTTCCCTGTCCCATCTGCTTGGTGCCTGGGCATCTACGTAGATGGGGTCCCCTACTCAAGAGCTGGTGGGAAATGCTAGGGTAAGTGCCCCATCCAATGGTCCACTCTTGAATTCACACACGACGTTCCCAGGTGGCCCGGACTGCTTCCCTTGGGACCAGGAGAGATGTACTCACCGAGCACATAGGACATGATGCGAGGCCGGACAACACAGTGAGCCTTCTTGTGGACTGACTTCAGTTGTCAGTGATGCACAAGCAGACCTCAGAGACGATGCGGGTTCAGTTCCACACCGCCGCCATCAAGAAAACAAGGCCATCGGGCGAGTTGCACGTTTTGCCTGGCTTCACAGTGCCTTTCATAAAGCTGACTCTAGAGTGTCATCTACAAAGTGTGCAGCAGCATGGTGGGAAATCGTGCACTATGGTGAGAATGACCGACCGACACGGGGACAGAGGCACGGAGTGAGCGGACACACGGTTGGAAAAACAGCACCCATAGACTTGCTCCGCGCAGGCTCCTCACCAACCTTCCAGTCTACAGATCACAGTAGCTGGGAAGTGCACATGGATGGGTCCCACGGTAGTACAAGGGGAGGGGTACGTGGGAACGTTGTAGGTCAACAAAATACTGCTTCAATTTTTTTTTTAAAGATTCACGTCTATGGGCAGGGAGCTGGGACCCTCCAGCCACACTGACCACGCTAGGCGCTGCCTACCCCTGTCCTGACAAAGATGGGACCACCAGGCAGGAGGGCCAGGACAAAGATGTCTAGTCAGCCTCATTCCTGATGCCCTGGGCTCTGTCCCTACCCTGCCTGAGGTCCCTAAGTCTCCTTGGCTACCCCACGCCTCTGTCCCAAAGCCCACCCACCTCGTGCCTTTGTGGGAGTAGGATCCTCACAAAGCCTTCTCAGGCTTGGTGGGAAGACTTGGCTTGGTGGTTCTCGCTGACTCACTTCCAGACACCCCATTTCCCCAGCACCCCCCTTTTCCCATCCCGCTCTACTGCTAATGGTGGGGCAGACCCTTTCACCATGGGCCTAGTGTCCAGCTTGGGGGTCTGGTACTAAGGGGCTGCTTGGTGACGTCCCATACCCCACCCATCCCGAGGCCTGAGCAGCTGCCCCCAACCCCTGCTGGCCAGCCTTCCTCCATCTGGTTCTGCCCGGTAGGTGGTCATGGCTGCCACAGGCTGCCCACCACCCGGGTTCCCTGCCTGCAGGGCCTGTTGCCCCAAAGGGCTATGAAAACATTTACTGGTTCACATACATGCCCAAGATGCGGTGCGCCCTGGTGGATACTGATGGAGTATCGCAGACTATCTGGAGGACTCTGGCTTAGTCACCTGTCTGCTCCAGACACCTCAGACAAGCAGATGGGACCACCCAGCTGGAACCCAGCCATTCTCGTCCACTGAGGAGGTAGGCAGAGCCACGGGGGGGGGGGGGGGGGGGCATCAGCATTCCCTGGAAGCCAAGGAGAACCCCCGGAATCCACAACCAGGTTAGTGGGGTCCTGAACTCCCACGGCAAACCAGGGAGCAGGTCCCTCACACCTCAGGGCGGGCAATGTCTTATCCCGGCCCGAAAGGCTGGCTCAGTCCTGCCCAGAACTAGGGCTCATGATAGCTGCTCACATCTTCCCGGGCCTTGAGCGGGCATGCCTGCGCCCGTGTGGGCTTGTGTGCGCTGCACGTGGCCTCTGTTTGGCTCCCCTCCAGCTGGGGGCCCACCCCCAGGTCATCTGATGCCATGGGGGGTAAAAGGCCCTAAGGGAAGGCTCCCAGCCCCAGGCAGGCCAGAACTTCACCGGCACTTGCTAGAAGGGGTTACATGGGGGTCTGGGGCGGCCTCATCCTCCTTGTAGGGAGGAAATACCTTTACGCCACCCAAGGGAAGACAGGCACTGGTACCTGGGAGGAGGTGGGCAGGTGGGTGGCAGCATGCATTGAGAGCCTTATGACACCCCCCACACACACTCCACCCATGGGCCAAACTGCTAAGGACCTTGTGGGGTTGGGGGGGGGAACCTCAAATGTGTCCCCAAACACCAGACTGGCAAGGGAATGAAACGAGGCACAGGAGACAGATGTGTGGGGAAGTGGACATGCTGGGCCCGGCCACCAGTAGCCAGCAGAGGGGCAGGGGCTAGGCTCCTTCTAAACCCCAAAGGGAGAAGAGCCCCCACCAAGCAGACAAGAACTGGATAGTAATGTAGTTTTAAATGCTCGTATTTTGTTTGTTTCTCCTCTCACGTTTTTCTCTGCCCGCCCTGCTCCCCCGCTTCCCCCCCTATCCTAATACCATTGTTCGTCAAACCCTGGCATCTGTGGTCGTAATTTCGTAGAAAACAATCACGTTCGGAAGTAATTTCACAGTCAGACGGAGCCGCAGGAAGGCCGCTGGCAGCGAGGACAGGACAGCAAGGTTTGAGAAATGACTGGAAAGGGGAAGAACACCCTCAAAGTCTCCGACCCACCCCTGCCCCAAAGGAAAACAAATCTCTAACGGGAGCGGTTTCGTACGAAGCCTTTATGCCTTGTCTCCAGAGCCCCCCGTCTGCCGTCTCCACGTTCTGACAAGCCGTGAGGGCACTTTCCGAAGCCCCCGTCTCTCAGAAGCAGAAACAAAACCAGCCCCACCCTCCCCCCACCATCTCATCCACGTATACATGAGGGATAAAATTACATTTGTACAAAAATAGATTCTTTTTTTTAACCTTTCCTGATGCTTTAGACATCTTTTCTTACTCTCGACACGCATGTGACCCTCTCTGTAAGTGGCAGTCCCGCGTCCCAGCTAAGGCATGACTAGAGACTGGGAACAAGGAAAGCTGTGTCCCCCCAGAGCATCTTAAAATAGATGCACTTCCTTGCCTTGAAATAGTCATTCGAACCCGGATTTCACCATAAATGGGGTCCTCAGGTACTTGCTTACACAAGCAAAACGTGTAAACAAACAGGAAACAGGAAACGAAGTGTTGATTAAACATGGATAGCTGACACAGGCTGCGTGTGCCTCTACACTACACACCTGCACTCGTCACTAATGGGGTTCCCAGAGCACCCCCCAGGGAAGCCACCCCCGTAACATCAAGTGGTCCCCGGCAGGCTGGTTTCCTCATGGTGTGGTGGGACCGTGACTTAGACCCCAGGCGAGGTCTTTTCCGTTCCTGGGCGGGGGAGACAGCTGAGGAGCATGCTGGGTGGGCTTCGGCAGCAGCTCTGTGGCCCACATCATCCAGCGGGGCTGCGAGAGGACAGGTACAGGGTGGCCGCCAAGCTGATGTTACTGCGATCTTTAGAAAATTAAAGATTGTCCCACCAAATATAATAATAACAATAATAATTACAAAACAATTTCCATAATTGAACCAGATTTGTAAGGATACCAAAGGTCTGGTTAAATAAAAACCCTACCTCCCTACCAAATAACGTGCCACGTGACCCAGAGACCACCTTGCAGATAGACAGCATTGTAGTCTGACGACAATGAAACCCGGGGGTGGGGCGGGACACCTGGAAGAAGTCAAATGACAAGAATGTGGGGCAGACAGGGTCAGGGGGTCCAGTCTGGGGCAGCCTGGGGGGATTTCTGGTGGTAAAAACTCCACCCGCCCTGTCGCGTGCCACACATCTGCCACCAGCCTCCCCCTGGCCCTGTGTTTATGTCTCCGCAGGTCACCTGGGAAAGGCTCAGGCTGCTGGCGGGGGAGGGGGGGCTTGAAGGCAGGTGGTGGGGTCGAGCAGAGAGACGCAGGGAGCTGGGGCGAGCAGGTCACCCCAAAAGGGAGTCCTCAAGAATGTCCACACCAATCTTCCAGGCACAGATGCCCTCTGAGTGCATGGTGACTTCCAGTGGAGTTGGGGTGGGGTGGAAGGGACTTGGGGCTCTGTCTCACCTACACCAGACACACTTTGCATCGGCGCCCCCACCCCGGCCCAAGGAAGTTCCCACATTAACACCCACTCCCCACCCAAGAGAAAGGGGCTGGTGAGGGGTTGCAGAACCAAGCCAGCTGTTACTGAGACCCGCCTTCTCCAGAGCCAAGGCAGTGACCCCCTCACTGCTCCCTGTCCAGGCACCCTGAGGACCAAGGGTTCTGAGATGTAAAATGGCCAGTGCCAGGGCCTGAGGCAACGAGGAGGCAGGTTCACCTGAAGACAGCCCACCCCCAACACACCATCAGAGTCCTGCCCACACGTAACAGGTCTCAGGACACTATGTTCAATGGCTCCCGGTTCTCACGAGTCTTCCAGACGGGAGAAGAGGGGCTGAGGGGACCCACACCCCAACCAGCTGTTTCTGCACCTCAAGCCCCACTGTTGCCCCTGTCTCTGGTAGCCCATGGCCACTTGAAAACCTGGGGAATCGCTGGTGCCCTGGTCTTCCAGGTGTTTGGAAAGATGGCTGGCCTGTGTGGATAGAGTTCTGAGAGGCTGGCAGAGCTTATTTCTGAAGGGCCAGCCCCTTCAAGGAGCCCAAGACTGGGCTAGCCCTCGGGAAACCAGGCATTAACCTTGGCCCATCCCACAAGTGAAGATGAGTTTGAGGGAGGAGAGAGACTGGAAACTTCCATCTGGTTACCACAGACTGGACATGAACTCATGGGAGAAACCAGGACAATTCAGAGAAAACCGAGGGGGTGGGAGAGTGGCCCCCAAAATCCCGTACCTCGAGGTCGGTTCGGCTAACTTGCAAATTATCTTTGGAAACAGGGCTGATCACCCAGCACTGCGGGAAGAGGGGTACCCTGACCTCGGACAACGCCCTCTCCAGCCCACCTGTCCACTTCTGACGCCAAGCGTCCAGAGGCTGGCTGGGCACCAATACTGAGAGGAGGCGAGGAAGGGCCATTCCAAGCAGATGAGAACCACGCGGGGTGCTTTCAAATCAGCATCAAACAGAACCAAGCCGACTGCCTGCAGGACCCCTGCCACCCTGGTACCCGCAGACCCCTCGGTCCAGGCCCTGCTCTCCCTGTTGCCGCCTGGGTCCACAGACAAGTAGCGAGAAAATAACACAGATGTCTCGTAGGCGTAGCAGTGGCAAGCGGTTCCACAGGTCCAGGCGGAGAAGGGGGAACGGACTGGGGCTGAGAAGAGCAGCTGGTGGCCGCCAGGGACCGGGCGGGTGGGCTCAAGGACAGGCCGGGGTCTAGGTTATTTGGTGGGGAGCCTCCAACATCTCCATGAGGAAAGTGTCGATGGGTGTGTCCCCAATGAGCTTGAAGAAGAAAAGATGTTCCAGGCACTTTAGGCCGATGGAGCGCAGGGCAGGCAGGCGGAGCAGGAGCTTGGCGAACCTGGGGAGAGGGTGGACAGATGAGGTGGGGCAGGAGGGTCCTACCTCCCTGCCCTGCCTAATCCCTGGCCCTGGCATGCAGTATGAGGCCTGCTTGGTAAGCCTTCAGGGGAGAAGGGGGCATTCAAACAGAGGAGTGAAGGCAGAGGTGCAGGGAGACCCCAGGGAAATGGAAGACAAAAAGCGTGGCGAGAGCAGCACTTCAAGCTGGGATGGGCCCCATCAGGATTTCATGTGAAGATTTCTCCAAGAGCAATAGGGAGCCACAGCAGGATCTAAGGCAGGGGCGAGAGTAGCAGGAATGGTTACAGCATCAGCACTCCCTTTGGCTACAAAAAGAGAAATGACCAGAGGTGGGCCCATGTGAGTGGTGGCAGGAAGGGCTCATTGAGCACAGGTGAAACATGACATGGTGGGTGGACTTGGGGCAGGCCTGTGCTCAGAAGAGCTGGGGTCAGAAAGAGGCCCAGGCGCTGGTCAGCTGACGCCTCTTCTAGGGCCCTGCCCCTGCTGCTGGCTGAGGACAGGGCCACAGGCCCCCAGTTGTCCTCGTAGCACTGCCTGGTGGCTACAGGGCTTCATTTCAGGGGTGAAGCGGCCCAGGGCTGGAGCTTGGCCAGGGAACTTGCTGTTTTCTGCTGAGCTGGCTCAGTGGGCCAGGGCGGGCAGCTGGCCAGGACAAACAAGTGCCCGCCACCCCTCCCGCCGCCGCCGCCGCCGCCACTGCCGCTGCTATACCTCAGTCCGGGAAGTTTCTCGCTTTAAACCAAACCAGATGAGCTGAGCTGAGCTGAGCTGAGCAGAGCAGAGCAGGCGAGGCGCACACACACACACACACAAACACGCGCAAACACACAGTTAACCCTGTGTGTGTCACTGTAGGGCAGGGTCCCGGCTCCCTGTCTGCTCACCCCCAACCCCCAGTCCCACCAGAGGAGTCACACCCCATCTTGTGTGCCAGAACAGTGGACCAGAACCAAGGCACCAGGCAGCCCTCCTGGCCCCAGTCTAGTGGACAGTCAGGCTGGGGCCCCGTTCTGCACAGGTTTACAAAGCATCTACTATGAGTGGCATTCCTGGGAGATTCCCTGGGAGTGGCACTGCCATCGCCTATCCTTGCAGCAAATACAAGTGCCTTCTGTACAGGGCTCCAGGGAGCCCTGATGGCGCTGTGGGTTAAGTGCTGTGCTGCTAACAGAGGTCAGTGGTACAAACCCACCAGCCGCGCCACTGGAGCCAGATGAAGCAGTCTGCTCCTGTAAACATGACCTCTTCAAAACCTAAGGGAGTAGTTCTACCCCGTTCTGTGGGGTCACTGTGCGTCAGGGTGGACTGGACAGCAACAGAGTTGGGTTTCTCTGTGCTAGGCTGGCCCCGACGTAGAGCAGTCCATCTTCCAGGAGGGGGCCACGCCCCAAGACAGCCTGCACTTGACGCCCCAGCACTCACCTGCCCGGCTGTTCGGGGTACTTGTGCTTGCAGTAAGCCTCCAAGGATGCATAGACTTTCTCCCTCAGCGCCTCAACTTCAGCAGGGTTCGAAAGCCCCTTAGAGTCTGGAGAGAAAGGGACTCAGGTCAGCTGGGGTTCCGGTCATCTCCCTGGGTGCCAGGCCACACAAACTTCTGGGGGAACATGGCACCCACTGAAAGTCTTATCTGTGAGATGGAAAGAAGCCGATGTCCTGCCCCCTCTCATGGTTACCACGGAAACCAGAAGTCTGTACACTTGGTGCTGGCTGTCCTGGGTCAGACTGAGCCACCCCGAAGCTGCAGGAGTGGAGGTGGGGGGCACTGGGAGGAACCAGGAGGCCAGCCCTGGGACCCAGGACCCCAAACCCTCCCCACGTGGCCACCCACACTGCCTACAGGGACCCCTCCCCTTGGGAACACACCAGCCTTCTTTGAGCTCTGCCCCCTGCAGGCCCCGGGCTCAGGCCAGGTCCCTTCCTGTCTCCAAGTGCAGCCCATGCCCAGACCTGTGCCCAGGCTGGTGAAGCAGACCTATGGCCAAGCCACTGGAGGGGAATGGACACAGAACGAGGATTATGGGGATTCCTTGAGAGAGGACCAAGACTGGCAGGAGAACATGTGTACTCAAGGCCCAAACCTGGTCCCCTCAGAAATTGCCCAGTCCCCCTACCCTGTGGCTCCTTGGGGGTTGGGGGGTTGGAAAGGAGCCAGAGCTTGGGGACTCCAATTCAGTGCTACTCTCCAGGCACTGGGCACTGCCCAGGCCAGCCCCCAACCTGACCCATCCATCTCCTCTGAACAATTTCAGGGGGTTCCAATTTCACAACCAAACCGCTTCCCCTCTCCAGACGCCATCCTAGCTCCAAGGACCTCAGGAGAGAACCCAGATCCCAAAGGCTTCTCAGTCCAGGTTGGGAGCCCCTCGCTGCACCCCACTTCACTGGGGTCCTGCCTTTGTTTTCATTGCTCTTTTTATAGGCGTCTTGGTGGCATCCTGGGTAAGGTATTGAGCTGTTAACTGTAAGGTTGATTGTTCAAATCCATTAGCTACTCCATAGAAAAAATAAGAGGTGGTCTGCTTCTGAAAAGATGTACAGTCTTGGAAATCCTGGGGACAGCTCATCTCTACCTTATACAGGATCCCAGTGTGTCAGATCGATTGGACAGCAATGGATTTAGGGGTGGCGCTGTGGGTTCATGCACTGGACCGCAAAGTCATTTGAACCACAAGGTCAGCTTGAAGCTCACCAGCCGCTCCTCGGAAACCCTATACAGTGGTCCTATGGGTAGGAACCGACTCAATGGCACTTCACAACTAGATTCCCAAAGGTACCCCAACTCCCCAAGCCAACCAAGAGTTGTTTTTAAATCAGGACAAATTCATGGATTCACACCTAGTCAATTAACTGCAATAATTATCACTGTTGATATGCAAACGGTCTCAGTTTTGGACCAAGGGCAGCCTTGTCTCATTGGCAGAGCCCTCCTGACTCCAGGCCTGATTCTGCTTTAAATAGCCACTTTCTGGGATCACCAAGTGCCCCATGTCCCCTCTCTGCCCAGGGGCTTACTCTTTGGTGGGCTTCTGTTACCTGGCGTCCAGAGGGGTTGCCTCCACCCCCACCTCACCCCCACTCAGTGATGCCGGGCTCGATGCTTGGTCCAGGTAGGAGAACACCCTCTGGGTCCAATTTTGTCCATGGACCCTGGGGCCTCAGCCCAGAAATACCCAGATAGAGGGCTCCCAGGGCCTCAGCACTGCCCCTTCTCGAGTTGGAGTTTAGGAGCAAAATGGTGGCAGTATGGACAGTAGAGTCCTGAGGGCTCCGCCAAAGGCCCACAGGTGCCACTAAAAGGAAAGGTGGTGCCCCGCCCACCTCTCCGCTGCAAGGACCACGTGGCTGCAAGGACCACATGGCTGCAAGGACCACGCGGCTTCCAGGACCACGCGGCAGCAAAGACCATGCGGCCGCCTCAGTGGGGCGGGGTCAATGGATAGGGCGGGGCCACAGAGCCGGAAGGGCGTGGTGTGGTAGGGGAACAGAAGAGGGGAAGACAGTGGGAGTAGGACTAAGGTTCAGGGTGGGCCAAAGGGTGGGCCGTGACCAGCTAGCAAGTAGGTGTGAGGGAGGAGGAGCACAGTGCGGGTTCCCAGGGGGTTTGTACCGGGGTTGAAGAGGACAATGGCGCGTAGGCAGCCAAGCTCCGTCTTGTCCATCTGCATGTCCCTCATCTTAGACACGAGCTCCGTCAGCACCCTACGAGAAGCAGACACCCAATCAGTGAACCCATTCCCTCGCATGGCCCCTGAAACACTGGGAAGAGGTTGTGTGGCACTGGGGGGAGCTGGAGAGGCCGCGGCCAAGCAGGGAAACTGCCCCAAAAGACCCTGAGGGCGGAAGACTCTAGAGCCAGGCTCCAGGTGTGGCAGAACCAGTGTAGTGGGTGGGCTTCCTCATTCCTGCCTTCCTACGGGAAGAGCCTGGGGGGCTATGGGGCCTCGGGCCGCCAAGCAGGAATCAGGGCTGAAGGCGGAGGTCAGGCCCACTGCCCGCTTGGCTGTCAGTGTATACACGCCACTCATACTGTCCACTGGCAAGTCCTGTCCCAGACGTGGCTTTCGTGGAAGGGCAGTTGACCACTGATTTCCACTGAGGCTCCCCACTCGGCCTTCTCAATGAGCTGGAGACCCCTCAGTAGTGCCCTCCCTCACTGGCCTATCCTATCGGCAGCATTCTGCACTGAGCTGCCCGCCCCACCCCCCACCCCC